GCCCGCGCGTTTTTTTCCAGCTCCAGCTACTTTCTGCGTTTTCCGTTCTTAAAATTTTATTTTTCGTTGTGCTTGACTTTTTTTAATTTAATTTTTATTTTATTTTATTTTTATGGAAAGGTGAAGACAGCGAGGTGTATAACTCAATACTCTTGATTTCTTGTAGGCTGGCTGGCTACTTGGGATTTTGAAGGATAACTTGATTTTTTTTTTTTCCTCTAACCTCCCATGCGGCGGTAAGGTAAGCGTCCATCTGTGTAGTCTGTCTGTCTCTAGAAGTCCCTCTGTCCACCATCACCCCGAGGCCTCCCACAGGCCGACCGATGCGTCTTCGCGAACGTGGCTTTCTGCTAAAGGCGGATGCAGTTTGTCCCTTGTCCGTGTTGAGGTGTAACAAGGACCATTGAGAAAAAACGTAGGACCTGGCGGCGGGGGCAGCGGCTTGCAAACCCTGTGAGTCTGCCGCGGGGTGTTTTTTTTTTTTTTTTTTTGCGGGGCGGGGGGGTTGTTTGTGGTTCTGTTTTATGTCTACACCCATTCTGGGCTTCTCCCTGCGAGCTGTGCGTTTTGGCCCTGGGCTGTGGTTTGGTCATTCGGATGGATCAGAACGAAGGGCGTTTTCAGAGCCTGAGACAAAAAGATGCATCTGGAGCTAGAGGGACGGATAGTAACAACACGGGCACCTCCCGGGCCGGCGCCCCCAAAGCCCGCTGGCTCGCGGGTCTCCCGGCACGGACAGCCTCCGGCCCAGCCCTAACGCAGGAGAGCCCAGAGGGTAACCGAGGAGTCCGGAGCGCCGGCAGCTCCGGTCGGTCCCCTCTTCCCAGGCCTAAAGCAGCCAGCAGCTCACCAAGCTTCACTCCCTGTGTCCAGCCTCTTCCAAAGCTTCCAGGTCTCTCTCTCTCTCTCTCTCTCTCTCTCCCCCCCCCCCCTCTCTCTCTCTCTCTCTTTCTCTCTCTCTCTCTGTGTCTCTCCCCCCCCCCTCTTGGGACGGCAATATCCCCTCCCCCCGTGGTGGTTGTGGTCCCCGATCCAGTCCCTAGGCCGAGCTAGCCTCTGAGAGTCGTTTCCCTGCCGGACTTTGCCGGCCGCGGTCCCCGGGCCCCGCGCCGCCCTCCGCGCGCCCCTGGGGGGCAACGCGGCGCCGAGGGCCTGCTCCGCCCCGGCCGCGGCGGGCCCGGGACGGGAACCTTCCGTGGGGAGGCGGCCCGTCGGCGGCTCGCGGGCCTGGCAGCGGCGGGCGGGCTGGCGCGCCGGCTCGCACCCTCCCACCACCCCCTCCCCGGGCTGGGAGGCCAGGGGCTGGCGCGGCCCGGGCTGGGGCGGAGGGGAGCGCTGCGGCCCGGCCTCCGCTCGGGGTCTTCCTGGGGAGAACCTTCAAAACATCTCATCCGGCACTCGGCCTGGGCAACATCTTCGGTGCAGATGCGTTCAAGTGACTCTTGAAAGCACGGTCCGATTTCAGGCCAGATTTTTGGAAAGCCAAGTTCCCCATCAGACTTCCGAGTTGGCTTTTCCCCTTCCTTTCACCGCGAGGCGAGGGAAGCAGGGCCTGGAGCGGCGGATGACTTGGGGAGGGCACGGCAGTCGCCCTGGGACATTCTGCCCCCCTCCCTGCGGCTGCCTGGCCGCTCAGGCTTTCTCCGCGCCTCGGGACGCGGTCCCGGCTCCCAAGTCTCCGCGCCCGAGCGGAGTGGGCGCGGAGACCCCTCCCCCGGGGAGGGAGACACCCGGACCTCTCTGCGCGCGCCAGCACCCGGCCTTCTCCTCGCCGTCATGCATAGCCAAGGCCCACCCTTCTGGCACGTTCCTGCCTCTTCCCTCGCGGGTGGCCGCGTGGTTTGGCTCCCGGGGGCCAGAAACTTTGGAGTTCGCCGCAGAGGGGCTGCCGCGCCGGCTGCGTCCGCGGTGCGCCCCGTCCCCGCGCTCCTCGCCGCGCCGCCGCCCCGCCGCAGGCCCGCCGCCAGCCCGCCGAGTTTTGTTTCCTCTCCATCAGGCAGAAAATTAACCAGCCCGGGCGCCGGGCAGAGCGGAGCACGGCGGCCTGTAATTAAGGGGACGTGTGCCCCTCGGATTATCTCGTTAGTTTATCAAGAAAACATTTATTATAATTAATTCTCGGACGGGGTAATTATGATTGAGCGAGGACACAGCAACTGGTAGATAGGCTCCTTGGAAGAAAACACACACACACACACTCACACACACTCACACTCACACTCACACACACTCACCGAGGCGGTGAGGGGGAGAGGGAGGGAGGGAGGGGGGAGTGACAGATTGCACGAATTGACCGTTAGATATAAGGCGGCGCGGGCCGAGGCGGCCAGTGGAGCCGGACCCGGGGCTGCGAGGCTGCCCGGCTGCGGGGCTGGCAGCGGCGGGGACGCCCGAGTCACTGGCCGCCCGCGCGTCCACCGCCCGCTTCTTCTAGGGTAGGATTCTCCAGTGGCCACTTCCAGAGCGGTGCTTTTGCGGCTTATATTCTTGGGAGGAAAAAAAAAAAAAGGTATTTCTGTTTTCTTTCTAGGCTCTGCTTAGAGAGGAAGGGAGGAAGGCGTGCGGGCAGGGCTTTGAAAGTTAGGTGGAAGGGCCCACGGGCCTCTCTCCTTTGGGAGCGGATAGGATACCAAGGCTGGCTGGTGAGAGTTCCCCCCATAGTTTGTTCCTGGAGCACTTTCGTCTAAAGATGAACCCTGTAGTGATGAGGGAAGACAGTCCGCCCGGGGGTTTTAGCCACGTTGAGGTGGTGAGGGCAAAGGAGCCCCAACAGGATCGCTGTCCCGCGGCTTTCGGTCTGTTACCACTTTTAATATTGAAATGTGCTGCTTGAATGTAGGATGTGTCAGGCGTTTCTAATTGGGTGAGAGCGCTGCATGTAAGAACGGACACTTCCATGTTTATCCTGTGCACCGGATAGGATTTTGTTTTTTTCTGTGGTAGTTCAGAACTTGCCAATATGAGGTGAGGTTGTATTAAACAAGGAAGAACTCCAGCTTAGAGGCGATTTAAACAAACCAAAGACTGCATTTAAAGCAATATTGTTTCCATGGCTTCCAAATAAGTGTCTTGAAAAGAAAAGAGACTAAAAAACATCAGGTCTTTGTTGTAGGACCAACTAAATTAGTATTCCTATGAGATCATACAAACGCTCCCAAGAAGGACATTTATAAAAATTATATTAAATTAGGTCCGAGGGTGGAAAGAATAACTTTTGTGCTATGAATTTCAGTCGGGAAGAAGTGAAAATTAAAAAGGAAAGAAAAAGATAAATCGGGATGAACTTGCAGTAACCTCATGCCATTTGTGAAACTTTGTGTCTCTAACTTTTAAGCCATCTAAAGATGAAAGCCCATCATCATTAAAATTCAGTAAGACCTCTGTAAAAGTAAGAAGGAACTTCTCCTAACCTCGAATCCGCCATTTTGGAGCAAACTCTCAGAGTGTCAAAGTTGCAAAGTAGAGATCCTTGCAGGAGAGGTGCCATCTCTTAGGAAAATAAAAGGCCAGACTTGCCAGCAGCCGGCCTATATTCACGTCCATTTGGGACCCCTTGGCTCGGGGGAGTGAGAGACAGCCAGCTGAAGAAAGTAAATAACTTCCTTTGCTTCCTTTCTTTTCTCTCTCCCCGAGCTCTTTTTCTTGCAGGATTGTAGGAAATTTGAAAGGTAGGGAGAAATGACCCTGGTTTCACAACTTTGGGTGTTTGTGTGTCTACTTTCTTCAAAACCTAACATGTTCAAAAGGCAGCTAGGGTTAACAGGAAACTGCTGGAGCTGCGGAAGACCCAAATGTCCGAAAATTTACCTCCCGCAGGACCTGCAGCCTCCACACATCAAAATCAACATGGAAGCAGCTCTTGCTGCAAACGTGCACCCTTTCTCCCTGCAGATGTGGGGCCTCTCATTTTCTGATTGGTGGGATTCTAACTTGACTTCAGAATTTCTAGCAAACCCTGTGCCAGTCTTGAAGAATTCTTTCTCTCTCTCTCCCTCTCTCTCTCTCTCTCTCTCTCTCTCTCTCTCTCTCTCTCTCTCTCTCTGATTACGTATTTGATGGGTATCTATTAAAAGTTCGATTTTTGTTTATTTAGCTTTGGCTCTTTATACACATTATAATCAAGGTTCTCCAGAACCCTAATAAATCTGTTACTTGCCTCAAAATCTAATTACCCAGGCTACTAATTAGGTGAAAATGATGACTGGAAATGACTTTAAGTGTGGAATAATAGTGGTTAGGCAGTTTTCTCAAGTTTGTCGATTAGCAAGTTGACATTTTAGATGTTAAATGCACTGATATTTTAGGTTACAAGCTGTCGCAAGTGGTGAAAAAGCTAAGATAATTAAAATCAGCCTCGGAAAGGCAACAGTCTGGGGAGGTAGATTTCTTGAATTGTTTTTTTGTTTCTCACCCATGGGCTTTGTTATCAGCATTATTTATTTAGCCGAAGAGTTCTTTGTCTCTGCAAATGGCCCCAATCAAGTTTTGTTTGAGACAATTAGCTAGTGCCAGCCAATGAGTCCTATGCAAATGCAGGGATAGGAATGCGGTGTGTGCATTTGAAGGCGTGGGGTTTTGTTCTTCGGGGCAGGCTGATGGTAATTGCTTTCTTCGGGTACTTTTTTTTTTTTTTTTAAGTTTAGGGTGGGGGTGGGGAAGACAGGTTTATCAGGTCTCCATCCCTTCCAGTTTCACAGCAGCTGGGGGTTGGGTAAGTGGGGAGCAGGTCTGCAAGCTCTTTAAAAGCCTCTGCCCTGAGTAGCCCGGGCTGTTTTTTTTTTTTTTTTTTTTTTTTTTAAGTTAGTGGCGAAACGTGGAAGGGCTGCTGCCTCCGAAGCAGTAAACCAGCACCTCTTGTTTGTTTGTTTGCTTTGCCCTTAGTTCCACCACGCCAGACCCGCCCACCAAGGACCCTGAATCTGTCCGGCCCCGGCGACGCAGGACCTTCCGGCTGGGTCCCCCCGCTTTGGGCTGACTTTGCGCCTCCTAACAACCTTAGCATGATGTCTTATCTTAAGCAACCGCCTTACCCAGTCAATGGACTGAGCCTGACCACGTCGGGCATGGACTTGCTGCATCCCTCGGTGGGCTACCCGGGTAAGTGAGCCCCGCGACACGCCCGCCCCGCCCCGCGGGGACGTGACACCCCTAACCCCCGGGAGCGCCGGGGGGGGGGGGGGGGCTGGCGGGTGATGCTGCCCTGGCTCCGGGCGAAATCCCCACTGGGTTTGCCTCTGGGAAGCAGCTCGGAGCGCCTGGACGGAGGAGCTGGGCTGGCGGGGAGCGAGCACACAACATCACGTCGCTGGTTCTTTGGGCGGACAGGGGACGCAGAGTGGAGTGGAGCGAGGGAGGTTTGTGCCCTGGTCATTTGGGGGCGACAGGCCCTTGCCCATAGGTCGAAGCGCAGTTCCTCGGAGGTACCTACCCTCCGCCTCTCCCTCGGGCTGGGCTTCCGCTCGGCCCTCCAGCTCCGCGCTAACCCCGAAAGATGTGACGGAGCGCGGGTGCGGCTGCCTTCCGAACCTGGCGGACTTTTTATATATTTTTTTAAAGTCCTCACCGAAGGAGGAGGAAATGTGCCCCCATTTTAAAGACGGAGGAACAAAGGCCCTTGGATCTCCAGTAGGATCGAGATCCGCCCCACCAATCCGAGCTGGGGGCCCTTGGGGATCTCTGACTTCCCGGAATGGGTTTTTCTTTTTGTTTGTAGTGTTTTCGGGGTTGATTTTTGTGTTTTCTTTTTTTCTTTTTTGTCTTCCTTGATTTCATTCGTTTTGGCAGCTTTCGAAGGGACGCTCTGGAGAGATCGCCGACGTCAGGCGGCACGGGGGCTCCCCTGATAGGGGCGCTGTGCGCCCGGAGACCTCTAGTGCGCGCTGGAGGGGCCCGGCCGCCGGGCGGGGTGGGGCGAACGCTGTGGGCTCCGCTTGGAAGGCGGGGAGGATCGGGGAGGACCGGGGGAGGGAGGGCCGCGGAGTCCGGGTGGGGGCCGGAGCGGGGGTGGGGGGAGCTGGAGCACCCGCAGAGACCCCTGTGACTGAGAAACTGCTCCCCCACCCTAAAGGGCCCTGGGCTTCTTGTCCCGCAGCCACCCCCCGGAAACAGCGCCGGGAGAGGACGACGTTCACCCGGGCGCAGCTAGACGTGCTGGAAGCGCTGTTTGCTAAGACCCGGTACCCAGACATCTTCATGCGGGAGGAGGTGGCACTGAAAATCAACTTGCCTGAGTCCAGGGTGCAGGTAGGGCCGCTGTAGACAGCCCTACCCCTCCAAACCATGCCACCCCTTCCCCGGCACGATGTGCTCAGAGGGCTCAGGGGAGTCCCAGGTGTTAGAGATGACTCAGGGAGGGCTTGAAACTAAACCTTCCTCAGGAGGCCAGCACACTCACCTGAGGCTCCTTGAGTGCCTGATTTCTTCTCCTAGAGCTCCTTTTTTATCCCTCCACCCCCATTCCGTGCTGCCAGCCAAGGGTCTTCCGCTCAGGTGCAAAGGAAGACCGGGGATTGAGCGTCAGTGAGGAAGCACAGCCCTGGAAGTCTTGGGTACCTGGCCCACAGAGGCCCAGCCTTGGCGGGTGCAGAATGCAAATACTGCCACACAATATGTTAGTACTTCCCTTCCCCTGTGTACAAAGCCGCCCCGTTCTCTCATTCACTTTTAAAAGTGAAAGAAGCTTAGCTCCCAGGTGGTCCCAATATTCTTACAGATGAAGAAACCGTGGGTGATTTGCTCAAGGTCACAGGTCGGTTGGTGGTAGAGGTAGGCTGTGGGATCAGCTGGTGCTCTGAAATGACGCAAGAGTGTTTTCTTTGACATTTCAGGGATTGAACAGAATTTGCTAGCTCAGAGCCATGTAGCAGATACAATATCTGCATAACATCCCTGGTGACCTCTCTCCCTTTCCCTGAGGCCCCCTTAACTTGACCTTAAGCTGGAGAGGGAAAGTGTAGTTTAACTTTCCTGGAATTCAGTCCCATGCAGAGTTCTGCAAGAATGATTAGCACCTAAACTTACCTGTATACCAGAGACCTCCCTTCAGCTGGGACACATCAGAGGGAACTGCAAGCCAGGAAAGAGGCTTTTTCAAAATGGGATGGAAGAACTTAGGTTTAAATAAGTCTTCACTGAAAGAAAATAAATGACCGGAATGGTTAGTGATGCTTCACCCAGCTTTGGTAGCATCGTTTTTACCACAGAACACTCATATGGGGAGTTGGTCAAAAAGGGCGGTTAAGGACATGGTGCCCAAAAAATACTAGCAGTTTCTCTGATAAGCCCCCTCCCACACTGAACACAGCTCCTTCATTATAGAACCGGGACAGTGCTAGTAAAAAGAATTGCCTGATTGCAGGCAGAGGCTGAAGTTGACAAACCTATGAGCAGAGTACAGGAAACTGAATCTAGGTGCTGATGGCACTAGCCTGAAGGCACAGATTCTAATCTCACACTGGAGCCTAGTAGGGAAGTCTGTCCCTGAACTCAAAGCAGAGCACCTAGGAGACACTCCACTTACCGTAAAGTTTTGCCCCAGATATGTGCACTGATAATAATTTAATAAAAAGATAAATAATAAAATAATAAAAGAAAGTGTTGCCCCACAGTGGCTTTCAGACCTCCTTCCTCACTTCCCCTTGGAGCTTTCTTTTGTGAGTCTGTCTAGGAGAGCCAAGAAGCAGAGTGATGAAACCAACCTCCATACTAGCAATGGCTCCCTCGTAGATGGACTGTAGACTGTTTGAATGTACACTGATCTTGTTGGCATGGAACAGCAGAATAGCTTTCACTCCCTTGTGTTTTTCTCCAAAAGACATAAATACATTCTATCCCATTGTGAGAGAGTCCCAAAACACAGCTGGGCCTGTGTGTATATGTGTATTGGAGGTGAAGTAACATAGAGAAGTGAGGTGGAGAATGGTTAGCCACACGATCGGTCTTACATTTTATTCTAGGTTGGGGGTAAAGCAGAGTCAAATGCTTTTAAACAGAGTCTCCCCGACATTTTTTAACAATTGCAGGAGCATATATGTGAGAGTACTATACACTAGGTTTTCGGTGGCAGGGTGAGTTTATCAGCTCCTCTGTCCATGCAGGAGAGATTATATAACCTGGGAGCCACCCTGGTTCTTAAGGAGTTGTTGAAACCACATTAAAGAAGTTTCTTCCCCTTTCAAGGTATGGTTCAAGAACCGAAGAGCTAAGTGCCGCCAACAGCAGCAGCAGCAACAGAACGGAGGTCAGAACAAAGTGAGGCCTGCCAAAAAGAAGACCTCTCCTGCTCGGGAAGTGAGTTCAGAGAGTGGAACGAGTGGCCAGTTCACTCCCCCCTCTAGCACCTCAGTCCCGGCCATTTCCAGCAGCAGTGCTCCTGTGTCTATCTGGAGCCCAGCCTCCATCTCCCCACTGTCAGATCCCTTGTCCACCTCCTCCTCCTGCATGCAGAGGTCCTATCCCATGACCTATACTCAGGCTTCAGGTTATAGTCAAGGATATGCTGGCTCAACTTCCTACTTCGGGGGCATGGACTGTGGATCTTACTTGAGCCCTATGCATCACCAGCTTCCTGGACCAGGGGCCACCCTCAGCCCTATGGGTACCAATGCAGTTACCAGCCATCTCAATCAGTCCCCAGCTTCCCTCTCCACCCAGGGATATGGAGCTTCAAGCTTGGGTTTTAACTCCACCACTGATTGCTTGGATTATAAGGACCAAACTGCCTCCTGGAAGCTTAACTTCAATGCTGACTGCTTGGATTATAAAGATCAGACATCCTCGTGGAAATTCCAGGTTTTGTGAAGACCCGTAGAACCTCTTTTTGTGGGTGATTTTTAACTATACCAGGCTGGACATCCAGTTTTAGCCAGGCATTGGTTAAAAGAGTTAGATGGAATGATACTCAGACTCATCTTCTGATCAGTGTTTCAGGAGGCATAGAAGGAAATAATGAAGGTCCTTAGAGGGACCCACCAACCAGCAACCTGAAATGGACAAACCAATCTACTTAAGATCCTGTCATAGTTTTTAGATCATTGGTTTTCCCGATTCTCAAAGTGATCAAAAGCATCCTAGCCATGTACAACCAAACACCACCAAAAATAAAAGCAAAACGAAAATTGTGAGGTGAAGGAGGGGAGGACATAGCCTTCTTAAGCAGAGGTGTTCCAATGTTTTAGCCAATCCTTGGTTGAATCTTAGGAATGGACAGTGTCTCAAGCTCACTCACGTTTCATGACCAACTGTTAGTTGGCACTGAAAACCTTTTCAGGGCTGTGTGAATTGTGCGACTGATTGTCCTAGATGCACTACTTTATTTAAAAAATAATGTTCATAAGGAGTCAATATGTAGTTTTAAGAGACAATCAGTGTGTGTCTTATATAAATGGTACATCTGTGGTTTTTAATCTGTGCTAGACTTCAAAACTGTGATCTCCTGTTATTGTATGCAACCTTGAACTTCACCTCTGCAGGGGTTCTTCTGTGATTAAATAGGTTATAATTATAAGCAAAATTCAGAGCAACTGAGTACTTACCTAAAAAGATGACCTTTGGCTGAATGGAAGCTGTACTGAAACTTGACGACAAAATGTCTCTGGACAAGGAGAGTGGGAGAAGAGAAACGAAAGGACACCGATTCATCTGTGATTTACTGTTGGTAAACCTGGCAGTAAAGAGACATTGGTCAATTGCTCTGACCCTGATGAATTTATGAACTGAGATCATTGTTGTTTATGCTTGCAGATGTTAACTGGAAAAAAATGATATATGCATAAACTTTTCTTCCCGGATTTGGCAGATATGTATAATTATATTAAAATGGTTCTAGCACAACATTGGGTCCAGTTTAATTGTATACCATTATTTATAAGGGAGAAGTCTTTTTCTTCCTAAAACATGTTTTTCTTGGGTTAGGGAGCAGACTTTATTTTTAAATTTTGGAGGATCTAATCTAAGGATGGAGTAGAAATGAATGACTGTGGTATGTAAAGTGTTTGTGACTTTCATCAGGGTTGCTCTGAATCAAGAGACCAACAGTCATTAGGATCTTGTCTCTTTGCTTCCCCCTTCCACTACCCCCCTCTGCATACCCTACTATTTCTTAGGCATTTTATTACTATGTTTTAATATAAATCAACTTTTTAAGCAAGAAGGGCAAAACTGTAGAACCTCAAAGAAAATGAGAATGAAAAGAATTCTGTGTTTTTATTCTCTTATTTGATTAAGGGGACTTTTTTTTTTTTTTTTTTTTTTTAGCTTCAAAAACAATTGAGGTAAACATGAGTGAATGTAATCAGAATCTGAAAGCAATCCAGGCAGAAATGATTTCTGAACAAAGGAGTTTCAGAAAAGTTTTAAAACCTATCATTTGAGTAGTTGAACATAAGGCACTCTGGTCATTTTTTTTTTTTTTTTTTAAAGCAAGTGTTGAGGGAGGAAAAATAGGTCCCTTCTCAGTTGTATCTGCATTTTGTAGGCCAATCACTAGAGACAAATGGGCCAATGATCCTGCTTTAAGCTCATTGGAAACTTCCGATGCTCTTTAAGTTTGACCAAAATTAAGTGACTCTTGATTGTAACTATTTAAATGAAGGTTAGCAGTTGCAACCATTTTGTTTTCTGGCTATTGTTTATTTTTCCTGTCCCTGGGTGCGCTTGTTCTCTTAAACCCTACATCATCTTGCCTGATTGTTTTTTCTGCAAAAAAAAAAATGCAATCATTCACACTTAATACTAGAGGCAAAACTTGGTGGCAAGATTTCCCTGTACCTACTGATAACATCCACCCTACTATAGATTACACGGAACTGAAATCAAGGCGGAGAGAGACTTTATACTTTGTAGGTTTGGGGTCGTTTGCTCCCAGCTTTTCTCACGCAGTTAAGTAATCAGGCAGATCCAGAATAACTTCTCACACAGTCGTCAGCTTTAAAGATGCCCTACAAAGCATCAGGAAAGTCATTCTTTAAAAACAAGAAAGGCTACTTTGCAAATAATGCAGTTAAGTTAGCAGCTTCTCTCCAGATACTTTTTCTTTTTTGAAAGGATGAGGTCAGAAAACAGCGCTATCTGCCCTCTGAAACAAATTTTGTCATCACTTTTGCAATACTTTGTTTTAACAGGCCACTCAGTTAAGCCCCTAAGTAGAGATGAATTTCTCCCTCCCCCCCACCTACCCACAGGCACTGGAGGGGGACGTGCCGGAAGGGGCAGGGTTTTCCGAGACCAAGAGCTCTGACCTTCCCAGTCAAGGCCGGGCTTCACCACGTTGAGCCCCAAGGTGATGGTAATGATGGTTGGTGTGGAAAGGACGACCCCCTCCTTCTTCCGCACATTGGCGATCTACGTAGACGGGAAACGGAGAGATAAGGGCCGTTTTTGGGGGGTGGGGGGATGTGAGGGTGGGTAACTTGCCCTACTGAGGTCTGCTGCCCCAAACCTTTATCTTTCCCAGAAAGACTCCTCTTTGTGTTTCACCTTGGGAGTGCCTCTTCACCGATAAGGAACATTCAATCAGGCGGGCAAGTTCCGGCTTTCTAACCTCTGAGATTTAGATAATGGTCCGTCTCCTCACCTCCTCCAGCCCTAGCTTCCTTCTAATCTCGCCTGCCCCCGGGCGACCCACCCGGGCCGCTCCGCCCGGAAGGCTGCGGGCTGGGCGCGCAGCGGAGAGCGCGGGCGAGGGCCGCCTGCTGCGGTGCTTCCTGAGCCTGGGCTGCCCCATCGGGGCCTCCGGGGAGAGCTGGTCTGCCCCGGGCCTGCCCGCCGCAGGCCCTCCCCGCTCCCCTCCCTCCGATCGGAGCGGGACCTCTGCGGCGCCCAGCCGGTCCCTGGCCTGGGCCCGACGCCTCGCGTCCGGGCCGCCCGTGCGGGCGCCCCGACCCTGAAGTCAGACCCGGGGACTTCGTGGCCTGGCTCCGGGGCGCGTGGGAACGTCCGGCCGGAGGCCAGAGAGAGAGAGGACGGCGAGCCGGGCCCCGCGGACCGTGGAGGGCACCGGGAGGCCCGTGGCCTCTCTCCCTCGGCTCCTGGGGGTTTGGGGGGTGAAGGGGGGGGGGGGGGAGGCACCGCAGACGCTGGGTCTCCCACCCGCGGAGAAGGGCGAGAAGGCCGCCCCAGCCGCAGCAGGGACCCCAGGCCGCGTTTGCGCCCCCATCTCCAGGGCGGATTTGGCGCCAAGAGGGGTCCAGCTGGGCCTGCCCCCCCCCCCCCCCAGGAGAGCCAGGTGCTTCGGCTCCGGGGCCTGGGGTGTGATGCTTGGGTGTTCCGCCTCCCCTTGGGGTCCTGGGCTCCGAGCTGGGGCTTTCAGAGAAGCCTGGGGAGCATGCGACGTCCCTCACCCCTTTCCTCCCGCCCCTCTCTCTCTAAGTGTAACCCGGCGCCTTGTCTTTTCCTTTCTGGATTCGGGGAGCACTGATGGGTCCTGGGTGTCGGCTCTGAACGGGGAAGCGGTGCCTTTGGCGGCCCTGACGGTGCCTGGCAGCCCATTCCGGTTACCTGCGGGCCCGGCCGCCGCCGCGGACCCGCCCCACTGAACCAGAAGCGGGCGCTCTGCCGGCCGGCCCTGGCACGCACACGCCGCGTGTTCGAACCCGCATCCAACATGACAGCTTTGCTGTGTTATCCAGACAAAGCTGTAACCCAAAACCAGGCATGCCCGTGTTAGGTGCTGGTTTACTGCCTACAGAGACGTGTATTAATTATTGCAAAAGAGAAATACAAAAATGCCAGGCAGGAGACAGGCGCATCCCAGCCTCCCACACAAACGGAAGCTGAAGTCCTAGCAAACAGCTAGAACTGGAAGATGTGAGGTGGAGCTTAGCCATGACCTCAGACTGCGTCTTGCCTTGCTTGGAAACATTTCTGAAAATCAATCTCCCTCTCTCTCTCTCTCTCTCTCTCTCTCTCTCTCTCTCTCCCCCCCCCCCTCCCAAAGGGTCCAAGCCCCAGACATGTATCTTCATGCCCAGATCTGCCACCAGTGCCTGGTATATCAGTTTTCCTCCTCAATGGCCAGTGCCCTATAAGGGAAGCATGCCCTGATAAAACCTGATCCCTTAGTTGCCCCATTTCTGCCCTTGGGTCAGCATGCTAGGAAAGATGGGGAGCCCCTGGGACTGTCCCTGGGATGGAGAGGGAAAGCCCACGAGCAAAAGTCACTCTGATGTTTTTCTGCATTGGGCTCTGAAACTGCACAGATTGTGGGATTTGTCTCGGACCCAATTAACATTACACGTGAGACCCTAGTGCTCTGCTGCATTGGACACATTGTATAGGATTGCTGGGAGCATCTCTTCCAAACTGCCTGTTAATAGCAACATAAAACCTGGAGGTACTATGCAGGTTTTTTTTTGTTTTAAACCTGATTAAAGCAAAATTTAGGCATTATTTAGAATGGGCAGTTTTCCTGGTGGAAGCAGTTTGAAGAAAGCGGAACCCAGCTGGAAGGCCATGGGAGCCGCTCAAGGAACTGGAGGGGCTTCTGCTGCCCAAGTGGCTGCGAGGAGAAGTCCCTCCGAGGAAGGGAGCTGCCCCCGGTGCTAAAGAGAACCAGCCAGACTTTCTCTCTTGCAAGCTGTGTGTTTTATATTTCAAAACCAACCTGCTCTTGACAGCAAATTCCGGTAAAGGAGTCCTGCCAAGGCCATCTCCTTTGGTCAAAGATCACTGCAGGTGCCAGCGAGTTCCGGTTATCCCTGGGAGGTGGGGGGCAGCTTTGAATGTTGTTTTTCTCCCAGAGGCAAAGTGGAGGTATTCCTGCGACTCCCCCACCCTTTAGTTCAATTCTTAGCGTAAGGAAA